GGTGAGCCTGTGAGGTCATGCCCAGCTCCCTTGGGTCTATCTGGTTTGGAGGTGGGGTGGGTGGCATAAATATGCCTTTGTTTTTATGCTTATGTTTTTAGGTGCTTGGGATCAAATTCAGGATCTTATGCATACTATGTAAGCACTCTTCCTATGACCTCCACCAAAGATGTTATATTGTGCATGTGTGCCTATGTGTGTGTGCCTGTGTCTGAGCACACATGGTGCTCAAGTGATATGGGGCATGTGCAGAGGTCACAGGACAGCCTTCGGTGCTGGTTTCTGTTGTCCACACTGGCACATACTATGCTGACTTACAGATCCTGTCAGCAAATCTAAGAGCATTTAAGCTCATCATAAGTCTGATGAATCAACAGCACATAATGGTATCTTTTAAGTTCCCCATGCACTTTACAAGGGAGTGTTACAGGAGGGTTTCACTGCTCCCAGCTTGAGACAGAACCTGTGTATGTATAGAAAAAAAAAAGCCAGTTAGGGAAAAGAAACAATCTTGAGGGCAAGAGCAGGCTGCCCCTGCTTGTTGCTGCTTCTAGTTTGAATCATCACCTCCTTCTCCATATACAAGTTCTAGAAAGATGTCCAAAGTCTAACTCCCAGGTATCCCCAGGATGCATTTAGCATATTTCTCCATTGATGCTTCTTAGTCTCTTGCCTTGCAGATTGTGATAGTGGCTTCTGACCTACATCCCCAACACAGAAACAGGGAGGTGATAGCACGACTTACTGGCTACAGCTAGATGGATTGAAGTCCAAAGCAATTGCTTTGACCCAAGGCTGGGATGCAACCTGCTTAACTCAGAGGTCCCAACGCTTTGAGGAGTCAAATGACTCTTTAGTTATTTAACGGTTATTTTGGTTCACCAAGAGGCTCCTGTTTTTATTTGTCCATACTTATCAAGTTTGGAACTAGACTGGAGAATTCTTAACGTTCATTTGCTAATTAACTTAAAAGTAAGTATAAAGAATTCCTTCCAAACCAGGCATGGTTCATATACCTGTAAACCCAGCCTGGGTGAGGGTGGGCTAATGCAGGAAGATTCTCATGATTGTAAGGCAGGTCTGCACTGTTCAGTAACACTCTCTCAAAAACTCCAAACCAACCAAGCAAACCAAAATGTCCAGCTTTTCATATATAACAATTAAAAAGTGAGGAGAATGACATTGACTTCTACATTTTTTTTCAAATCTCTTTAACCTCTGGCTTAATGGGAATCAGCTGCTTTCTTGTGTCTATGTTCCAGTTCAGTCTGTCTCAGTAGACAGTGGGACATCTGGTCATGCAGAGATGTGTAGCAAAAGTCTCTTAGTCATTTCTGTGATTCTGGGTATTTTCTTTGACATTACTCAAACTGGTAAGTGTTCATCTTTTATTTTTTGTGTAGCTTTGTAGACCAGGCTGGCCTCGAACTCACAGAGATCTGCCTGCCTCTGCCTCCTGAGTGCTGGGATTAAAGGTGTGTACCACCACTGACCGGCATAAATGCTCATCTTTTAAGGCTGTTTTCAGTATGGGTTGTGAATTAATTTTTCCTCCTTTAATGTATTCAAATCCATAGGTCCATCATCCACTTTTCCACAGAGGATTTGTAACAACTTATATTTTCAACTGAAGAGTGACTCATTGAATGTTTCAGGTCTTCTGATGTGGACATGTCTCATTTAAAAACCAGTTTATTGTCTTTGCACCACTTATGTGGCCATGGATGCCTCCACTTACTGACATGGAGGCATTGGATCCCCTGGAGTTGTGAACCTGCATTGTGGATGCTAGGAATTGAACCAAGTTCCTCTACTGGAGCAACCAATGCTCTTAACTTCTGAGCTGTCTCTTTATTCCCAACGCACTTCATTTTTGTAATAGCTACTAATCATAACAAGCAGGCTTATTAATGGGAGTTGATGTGGTATGTCCTTCTGTGAGCTGTGAGTATGTGTTGCTTTTATTGGTTGATGAATAAAGCTGTTTTGGCCAATGGCCAGACAGAATATAGTCAGGCAGGAAATCCAAACACAGTTACAGAGAAAAAGAAGGCAGAGTCAGGAGATACTATGTAACTGCCATAGAAGTAAGATGCCAGAACATTAGGGTAAGCCACAGCCATGTGGTAATACACAGACTAGTAAATATGGGTTAATTTGAATTGTGAGAGCTAGCCAGTAATAATCCTAAGCCAAGCAATTATATTTAATACTAACCTCTGAGTGATTATTTCATAAGCGGCTGCAGGGTGGGATAGAAACAGGTCCAGTGGGACTGAGTGAGACAGAGGAAAACTTTCAACTAAGGGGATTATTGTAAAACTCTAATTTTGGCTTCAAAGCTCCATTTTTATCATTGTTAACATGTTCTGTCATTAGTTTTTTTGTTTTTTTGTTTTTTTGAAGCTGTAGGTTGTACCCCTGAAATTTAGGGAAAATATCTGAAAGATGCCCAAATCAGAGTAAATGGTTTGCCAGAACAGTCTTTCTTTTGACATCAACAAAAAAAATGGTATTTCATGAAAAGGCGGCTAGTTTAGCTTATACTGACTGCTGGTATAGTGTTTTGCTTTTGTTTTTTGCCCTCAAGACTTGGTACCACCATAATGTGGTGTGCAGAAAAGAGTTTCATGCACAGTCTCCATTTTCTTATGCAGAGTAATTAAAAAATGTGAACTTACAGATCAGGGTTTAATAGATGTGATATTAATGCTTTATCAAGAATGCTTTTCATGTTGTATGTGCTTTGTAATGAATGGTAATAATCTGGGAATGTTAGCTACTGCCACTTTGCTTTATGCAGTGTCGCCAGCCTTCATCTGCTATTGTTTCTACACCTTAGTACAAATGTCAACCTAGCAAAAAGGCAAATCACACCTTGTTTCAACCTGGCCATATCTTGGGGACTCTAAGGGTGTCCCAAACTATACCCGGAAACCCTCTGACTTAGTCCAGTAAAGACCCATCTTTGTATATGTAGTAGGGCTCTCAGACAGTGTTTTACTTTATTTTATTTGTTTTCAGAGGAAAATTGAATGGATGTTACACTGTTGCAATTTTCCACACTGTGGTTTTTGAATTAGTAGTAACAATAGCACACACCCAGACTCAGGATACCAATTTATTGATTGATACTAAGACCCTAACCCTAAACTCTGAGAGTTGAGACTTATCCATCATCTCCCTTTTCCAATGAGGTTGTTTGTGGCAATTAGTTTTATGCCTAATATTAGACACTAAGCAGGTGAGAGAGCTTGAGACCACCCCTCCCCCACATCTATGTATATGTGGGGAGGCTGGGGTGGTGAGCAAGGCTGTGTGTGTGTGTTCACGGGCATGCATGCCCACAATTGTGCATGCACATACATGTGTTCATGGAGGCCAATGGATAATGTTCCTCAGGGAACACCATCCACCTCTTCTGAGTCCAGGTTTCTCAGTGTGACCAAGGACTCACTAATTCTGCTAGACTGTCAGGCTAGTGAGTCCCAGGAATTGTCCTGTCTGTTCCCCAAGACTTGGGATTGCAAGTGCACGCCTGTCTGCATAGCTTTTCACTTGAGTGCTAGGGATCACATTCAGGCTGTCATGTTGTTTGGTAAGCACTTTACCAAATGAGCCGTCTCCTAAGCCCCTGGACTAATTCTTCTGGTGTTGTAGATAGAACTTGGGTATTTGAACATTTTCCACTCTGCTATCATGCTACATTCCCCTCTAAACTATATCAAGAACCCAGTGAACATAACTTGGTAAACATATTTGGATACATAGATGGCCATTCATTTAAAATATTTCATCAATAACAGAAACTTCAGTGAAATTCTACCAGGAACCCGAGAATAATGTTGAGTGGCTGCAGGATGGAGCAGCCCACAGGTAGTAGGATGGAATGGGCTTAGCTTGTCAGAATTCCCAGTCCTTTTCCTGCAGCATGGCCTTTGTACCTTGGTTTGGGTCTCAGCTGTGCACAGGACAAAATTGCTTCCCAGAAAGACCCATCAGCTCATGTTGTTTTCCAGCAAGTGTCTGAACATCTTTGTTTTCATGGGCATCTTTTAGTGGTAGGTACAGGTCAGTGTGTCTGAACATCTTTGTTTTCATGGGCATCTTTTAGTGGTAGGGACAGGTGGGGGTGAGACAACAGGCAGAGCACCAAAGCTCAGTTGTGCATTGTGATGGGATGGGAAAGAGCCTGTCTAAAAGGGAGACCTTGACCTGCCCTGACTTTCCCATCAACCCCTGGGATTCTTTGTCCCACATAGGATTCCCATTGGGATTCTTTGTCTCTCATGATGTGGGCATCAATTGTCTGAAATCATGCCTTGGTGGATCTTCTGAGGAAGCCCTGGTTCTTGTCCAGTTTGGGTCTAAAACTTGTTGCTAGAAAATGCCCCCCAAATGAGAATTGATGGAAAAGTGAACATTTTTCTACAGTGTTCACACACTGCTTAGAGACAGGAGGATGGATTTCTCATGTTAACAACTCTCAGATAGGGCTGGCTTTTAGGACTCATTTGTAAATATTGCAAATGTTGGAAATAAGTTGTATTTGTGGTTACAAATAAAAATAAAAACTAGCAACTTCAGGGTCAGTGGAATGGCTCTCTGGGTAAGGGTACTTGCCACCAAGCCCAAAGACCCAAGTGTGATCCCCAAAGCTCATGCTGGTGGAAAGAGGGGATTGACTCTTGCAAGTGGTCCTCTGGCCTCCACAGTGTGCTCTTGATAGATGGAGCCCGAGGCCTTGTCCATACTGTGTACCTATCCTACCATTGTGCTGCACCCCCTCAATAAATAAATGCAAAGAAAAATTAGCAAGTTCAGTGTAATGTTAGACTCATTAGTTTGATCATTTACCTATCTTAGGAGACAGGGCTATCATTATAAGGATGCTATGTCCACGTAAAATAATTTATAAGGGCTTAGTAGACCTATGTGTATACCTTGTTTCCTTTTAGTGATAGAGTAATTTTACTATTTTGTGTTTTTTTTCTTTACAGAAATGGTCAGAAAAATCATACAGAGGAATTTTGACTTCTCAGTTGATTCAAAGGAGGTAACCTTTTGTTGTTACTCATTATTAAAAATAGCAAATATGAGAAAAATCATGTCTGGCTGGAATGTAGGTTTTTAAAAAAACATTATTTTATCTGTAATTTGCTAACTCTTTTGACTAAGGATTTTTATGGAATATTGTTTTATCTTATAGATCCCATTTGAGTGGCAGCATAAATTTCAAAATTGGTGGTTGAGGAAAAACACACTATGTGTCATTTGAGAATTTCCTGAAAAGAAATACTAGGGGTTTTTTGTTTTTGTTTTGACTTTTAGCTAAGGGTGAGAATCTCCCTAAGCAGAAATGCTTGAGAATTCTTAGGAGCTAGATGCAAGATGGCAAGAAGCTCTTCTTGAGAACAGTTTGCTCCATAGCTGCTTCTCTCCTGTGCTCATTGCTGGGTTTGCTGGGCAGCTGCGAGGTGTGCATAAGGCTTGAATTAGAGGAATGGTGGAGATAAGGGAGGCTGTTCTTGAACAAACCCCAGCAGGACCTTAATGGTTTCAGGGCAAAGGGCAATAAGGATACAAGCAGGTCTGAAGCAACATTCAAAGAAACAGAAAAAAAAAATCAAGAAATTCTGAGCAGAAGCCCTGCCTACAAGTAGTGACTCTTGACAGAAGTAGAGCGGACAAGGGCATGGGCTGGGTAGGAGGTAGCTCTGGGAGTGCTGGGGGACCAGGTGAGCACTGATGTCAGGTGTGGAAGTGATGAGAGAGAAAAGTGACACAGGCCAGGTAATGGGAGGTGAGAGGTCAGGGCTTGCAGAGAGCACTGAGGGATCACACTGATCTCTGTCCAGCCCATGGGGCACTGCTGACCCGCCCCCTTTACTTCTGTGACCTAAACAGAAGAATTGATTTTGATTTTGGTTAGTTGCAAGTGCAAGACCCAGGAAACATGCAGACAGATCTTTGTGTGGTGGGTGTAGGGTGATAAACACCAGGAAACTGTGTTTGCCATGTTCTTAGCCCTCGGCGAGATGAGTAGGGCATGCTGCTCTTTCCTGTTCTGCTCTGAGGATGGTGCCAGGGGAATAATGAGATGCCAGCACAAGTCTGAATATGAATGCCCACTGCCCCAATTGGCTAATGAGTTCAGACCTTGTAGGTAGAAGCAGCCATATCACACCCTCAGTTTGTGGTAAGTGATACCAGGAAAGGGGGGATGCCCAAGAGGGAAACTGCTTTGGAAGCCATTTTCATCTGTCAGGAGGACCGACTGTGGGACAGGTGAAGTGGGAACCACATTGCCTTCTGCTCACTACCCGGCTAGGATGCTGCAGAGAACGATCCTTCAATGCTCTCACATCACTTTATTGCCAAACTATTGTCCAGATTGGCTCATATCCCTGGGCAAAATATGACTACTGCTTTCCATGTATCTTGAACAGTAGCGTGCCTGATTAATCTGATAGCACAAATGGCAAAGGTTCTTCGGGGAACTGGTAAGAATGGGGACATGACCTCACTTGGGTCCAGGTCTAGAGACTCCTCGGAGTGGTTTGGCCACCTGTTTGCCACCTCTTCAGAGGGCGAAGACACAGTGCTAGTCAGAACTCACATCCCATTTCTGCATGAGGAAAGTACACTCCAGGGATCTTGGAGGGAATTTAGATTGCAGGAATCATTGGGTTTTCTTGTCTGTAATAGGCTCTGGTCAGTATCCGTCATGAGTATAGTATCAGCTCATCCGAAACATGAAGAAGCATTCATGGCAAAGTAACCCTCATGTCACTTGCTGCCATTTCCCTTTTGCAAAGTTTTTGCAAAAGCTTTGTCAGGTACTACTCTCTACTTATCCTACACATAAGGTAACTGAGACTCAGTGTGGCATTAGTAGCAATACCATGGATGTTCCCTAAAGATTTTGATATTGTTCTTCAGGGTGGGCTGGTTACTGCTCTTTTTAAAAGCTCCCTAGATGGTTATAATGGGCAACTGAGTAGAGAATTAATAGGACAGCAAGGTGTGGAAACCTTAAGATTTTAACTGCTGTATAACATAGAAACAAATTTATCCTGTACAACAGCTCATTTGGAAAGAGACCAGTAAAAATGCAACCACTTACGTCTATGGGGGTATTTGTTGTTGCCCTGTCAAATAGATCAGTCAGGCTGACTCTTGGGCTGGAGAAATTACAAAAGAATTAGCCTTTTGTTATAGCTTGTGAGTAGAGTGGCCTTCCTACATACAGTGTGACCATCCACAATAACCAAGTGAGGACAGACTTCCCCAAATTACTCATCTGTAGTCATCACATGAGGGCTCCCTTAAAATAGATACTTGGTCTTCCCCAGTCCTGGACTTATGTACTATAAGGGGAGAGGAGCTTGGGAATTAGTTACACTAGGAGGTTCTTACGGTTGGCAGACATGGGACTCAAAGTTGTGAGTGGTATCAAGCATGTAGACTCACCGAGGAAGACAGAATGGGACTTGTCAGGATGCTCAGGTGACCCTTAGGGACATGTGTATCTGAACTGTCCTCAACCCCCAACATTTTCAGCACTTCATTTAAAAATTATTAGATTCATGCGCATTGTTCTTTCAAAGCCACAAAGATCCGCCCCAGATAAGGAACAGTTTGCATACCTTCAGATTTCCAAATCAGAAAACTTCAAAATAGTGAAATGAAGACTGACAGAGCCAGCTCATTTTATTTTGCCAAAGACAGCCTTTAGAAACAATAGCAACCCTTTCCCCCTTCACACAGACCACCAAAAGGGATAGGCTTATAAATTAAGAAAACTTAGCTTAAGGAAGAATTCATTGAGATCTGTTTTATTTTCCTCTCATTGTTGTGGGTTGGCTCATCTTCATCACCCATCACCATCACCGACTGATCCCCCATCTCTAGACCACACTGATCTCTGTTTTGGGGTTGTGGCTTTTATTTCATTAGCACATCAGTCGGTTTAGTTTTGTTGCATGTGGGCTTGCTCTCGAGGAGGTGGTATAACAGGAGGTGGCTATATGGCAGCCATTTCTTCTAAGTAGAGTACGTTATTTCAAATGGCAAATTCAGGGCTATAGGGTAGTGGGAAAGATGATATACAATATCCAGAATTCCTGGAGGTAGCAGCATTTATGCTTAAACTTCAGTTTCATCTAGGGAGTGATGGATGACCTGAGTAGGGAGACAACCTGGGCAGTCAGAATGAGAAATGAAGAGAGGAAATAATTTGACAGAGTGACAACAGACAACTTAGAATGGCCAAGAATGAGGACTTGAAACTAAAGGACCATGCTGGGAAGTTTGCATTAGAAATGGCAAAACTCTAATCACAGCACTCAGGAGGCAGAGGCAGGCTATTGAGGCCAGCCTGGTCTACAAAGCAAGTTCCAGGACAGCCAGCACTACACAGAGAAACCCTGTCTCCAAAAAACAAAAGAAAGAAAGAAAGAAAGAAAGAAAGAAAGAAAGAAAGGAAGGAAGAAAGGAAGAAAGAAAAAAAGAAAGAAAGAAAGAAAGAGAGAGAGAGAGAGAGAGAGAGAGAGAGAGAGAGAGAGAGAGCAGAACTTCATTGGATGCTGTTAAACAAGGGAATAACACTTTCAGATTTCATACTAGAGGGGATATTTTGGCTTTTAGACTATAAGCAGCCCTCATGACCTGCTTTATGGAGATCATGTAGCAAGCTTGTTAGCATCTATAACTGCCCTGTGGTTCCCTTTTCCCTAACTGATGATCATATTGACTTTGAACCTTTCAAAAACCCAAATGTGAATTCCAGAACTTGACTCCAATCAAAAACTAATTCTCAAATATACGCTTGAATCTATACTTCTTCCTCATGTTGAGCCTTCCGTTGTGATTTTTTCCAATGTGGAATATGATTATGGTTAATGACTTATTTGACTTTTCTGTTTTATTTTGATGCATGCTGCCTCTGCTACACACAAACTCCTCAACTGCTTTGATTCCCACAGCCAGAAAACATAATCTTGGCTTTGAAGGTAAACTGCATGCCTACTGTTTGTGCCAAGGTGCTGTTTGTCTCAAGTACATGAGTAGCGTTGTCTCTGTCAACACTTTCTGTCGCCCCTGTGGTAGTGTTTAGATTATGTGTTTTGTCTCTGTCTCAGCTGTCATATTTAATTTTTCCTTTGTCTGATGTCAAGATAATCTCCAATGTGCTCAAAGATCATGAGCCATCAAAATTAATTTACAAATTGCTAAATCCTGTGGCCTAGAAATCAACTCTGATAACATCCTAGTGCTGGGAATACAGTTCAGTGGTAGAGCACTCACTGGTATGATGTGTGAGGTTCTGAGTTCAATTTTCAGCGCTGTGGCAGGGTGGGAGGAAAAGAAAGAAAATGGTACACTGTCTAATATTAAGTCAGTAACATTGGGACGGTTTATATAACATAAACTTTTTTCTTGAAGCTAAAACTAATGCACAATAAATATTTCAATATATCTTCTCTCCTCGATTTGTGTTTATTACCTACTGGGGTTCAGAAAATATTTAAATTCCTTTAAGTACTAAATAATTTTATTTGATGATAAATGCTAGCAAAATGTGTAAGTATGTGAGAATTTGTAGTGTTTAGGCTGATTTCTTAATTGGCTCATGATATTAGTCCTCAAGGAAATGCTAACTAGTCAGTTAATAATGGATGCTTGTAGACAGGCAAAAGGACACACATATACATCCTCGGCAACTTCCCTTGCTTTTTATTTTTTCATAGCATTTTAATTTTAATATTGAAGTGGACAATATTCAAGTGTCAGGTGTGCCCCAGTTCACACCTGAGTGCTCATCTATAGTTAATTGCTATCTATTGAATGTTGATTGTGAGCTGTTGTCTTCATTTTGAATCCATGATTGTTCATCCCTCTTGCCCGTGGGGCTCATCATGTTGATGGACATTTTCCTAGTGTAAGAGGACCAGGAGCTTCCAGCATGATGTAACCAACTTCAGTTTTAGTGTTCTCTACCAAGACATTACATTTGCCCTGACAGTGTTGTCAGACCCCAATAAAGCTGCTGTCTGTGCAGCAGGCCATTTAAGAGAAGAGACTGGCATTGAGGCAAGGAAGGCAACGGTTGACAGACAGCTAGTTGGTAGGATGACAGGTTTGTCACCAAGTTCATTTTTCTGAAAATTTAGGTGTGATTATGGAACAGTTGATAAGAGTTCACTGACTGGTGGGCAACTCCCCACAACAGGTGGCCAGAGGATACAGGTGTTCACAATCTTTCTTATCAGGAGATGCTTTTTGTTTGCGCAGATTTCAAGAGCAAAGGTCATGCTTTCTTCAGCTGCTTTTTGTCACTGCAATTTTACACAGTGGACAGGCTAGGGGGAGTGGTGGCACTGAGCTCTCTTTTTGACTGCCACACTATGGTAATGCAGGAAAACATACACCATCTGTGGGGAGATAAGGTGAGGTGGTTAAACAGGAAGTTAGATGTGAGATCAAGGCTCAGGGCAAGCCTACAAGACAAAGTTCCTGTTTTGTTTTTCTCTCTTCATCTAGCTCCTACATCAGCCACTGCTATCTTGCTTTTTTGTCAAGTGTCCACCTGTGGTTTATTGGCATTCTTTAGAAATCTGAGGGACTTTAGGGCTCAGGGTGTAGCTCAGTTGGTAGAATGCTTGCCTAGCATTCATGAATCCATGGATTCTATCCTCAGAAACTAGACGTGGGGACACATATCTGTAATTGAAGTACCCAGGAGGTGGAGTCAGGAGCATCATTCATTACTAGTGAGATCAGCCAGGGATATAGGGAACTTTGTCTTCAAAACAAAACAAAACAGCAGGAGAGTGAGCAAACAAAGAAGAGAAATGTGAGTGACTTTGTGCCTCGTCTGGAATGAGAGATTATTTCATCCTCCAGGACAATGTTCCATGTACACTAGAAAAAGCAAGCAAGGAGAATGAAAATACATTAAGGTCTAGTGATTCTGTATGGAAGTTGTGTTGGCTTCTGGGAATGCAGGACCATTGTGGACACAGGCTGCCAAGCCTTGTACTCATCAGGCCTGCCTCTTGGATGGCATAGAAAACTCCACTTGCTAGTGCCTGGTGATTGCCTAGGCACTTCCTCTTTAACCGTACCTATCTCTAGTTTTCAGGATGACCTGATAAGCGCCATATTGTTACTCCCAGTGTCTGCACAGAAAGGGTAAATTCCTTGTGCTTGATTCACTCAGAATGTCTAGACTTTGTTCAAAATTTGAATTCTTTTATTTATTTATTTTGGATTTATTCCCCTATTTTTATTAATTGATTTATTTTTGCAGCCCAACCACAGTTTCTCCTCCCTCCTCTCCCCCATCCGCCCCTCTTCTCCCAACCATCCACTTCTCCTTTCTCTTCAGAAAAGGGCAGTTCTTCCATATGTATCAGCCAGCAATGGCATATCAAGTTGCAGTGAGACTAGGCACCTCCTACCCTACTAAGGCTGAACAAGGCAACCCAGTATGAGGAAAGGGTCCCAAAAGCAGGTAACAGAGTCAGCGACAGCCCCTGCTTCCACTGTTAGGAGTCCCACAAGAAGACCAAGCTACACAATTGTAGCATATGTTCAGGGCCTAGGTCAGTCCCGTGAAATTTTCTGTTTGGTGGTTCAGTCTCTGTGAGCCCCATGAGCCCAGGTAAGTTGATTCTGTTGGTTTTTTTGTGGTGTCCTTGACCCCTCTGGCTCCCATAATCCTCCCTCCCCTTTTTTCACAAGATTCTCCAAGTTCTAAGGTTTGGTTGTGGGTCTCTGGACCTGTTTTTAGCAGTTGCTGCCTCTCTGGTTACAGTTGGGCTAGACAATGACCTAGGAGTACAGCAGAATACCATTGGGATCATTTCATTGACTTGTTTTTTTCTTTTTTTGGCAATCATGTTTGGGTCCTAGCCCCCTAAGCAGTGTCAGGGGTGGGCTCCCTCTCATAGTATGGGTCTCAAGCTGGATCAGTCATTAGTTGGCTACTCTCATAATTTCTGTGCCCTTTTGTCACAGCATATCTCATCTTCTTTAGCAAATGTTGAGTTTGTAACTAGTTAATGCCATCCAATATGGCTCAAATCTTAATCTCTACTTGCTCCGTCTTCCTGATATAAAGTACCCTGTACATGTATGTCTCGCTATGCAGAGCTTATTTTCAAGCCATCTGGAAAAGAAAATACCTTTGAAGTTGAAAGTAAACCATTTCCCAGTTGACCTTGTTCTTAGGTAACTTCCAGGCAATTGAAAGGAATATTAAACTCTTGGCCAGCATTCTAGTAACTCAGCACTCCACTTCCTTTAGCACAGAACACTTCTAAGTGGAAAAACACGTAAATGCATGCATACTGAGGTACTCACTACTGTGGAATGTTCTTTCGGTTTTGTGTGACATGTGCTATGTCTTGCCTTTGCATTGCAGATTGCCTACTATGAAATCGGAATTCTGATCTGCGCCATCCTGGGGCTGCTGTTCATTATCCTCATGCCTCTGGTGGGCTGCTTCTTTTGTATGTGCCGTTGCTGTAACAAATGTGGTGGAGAAATGCACCATCGGCAGAAGCAGAACGAGCCGTATAGGAGGAAATGCTTGGCTGTTTCGCTCTTGGTGATTTGTCTGCTAATGAGGCAAGTCAAGTCTTGGACCATAGCTATTAGGGCATTGCAAGGTGATGGGGAATGACTCTTTTTACCTTTTAAGTCCATGAGTTTGTTTTGCTTTTCCTCTTTCCCTCCTCCTCCTCCTCCTCCTCCTCCTCCTCCTCCTCCTTTCTTTCTTGTCCAGATAGAATATCACTGCATAGTTTTGACTGTCCTTGGTACTCACTATGTATACCAGTCTGGCTTTGAACTCACAGAGATCTAGCTGCCTCTGCCTCCCAAAGTGCTGGAATGAATATTAATTAATAAAGGTATGCATCAGTACACCCAGCCTTTTTTTTTTTTTCTGGGACAGGATCCCATTACACAGTTTAGGCTAACCTTGAACTTACAGATAGTGAGGACTGCAAAAAGTCCTGGCTGGCCTTGAACTTCCGGTAATGCCTATGTCAACTTTTTGAGTCCTGGGATTACAAGCATGCCCCCACCACATGAGTTTAAAGTGAAACAAAGCAGAAAGGGACATTAGCAGCAACTCAGAAAGTTGCCACTAGAAGTTACCATACTCCATGAGCTGGCCTTTGGTAGTTTTCTCTCTTGAAGATATCCTGAAAAATTGTGTGTGTTTATGTGTGTGGGGAGGTATAGGCACATTGGAATGTGTAGATTCAGGCAATCATATGCCATGACCTGTATGAGGTCACAGGACAACCTTGGATGTAGGCCTTCTCCTTCCACTAAGTTTGAGACAGGGCCTCTTTGTTGTTTTCCACTGAGAATTCTAGGTTAGCTGGCCTGCAGATTTCTAGGGATTCTACTGTCTCCACCTCCCATCTCCCTGTAGGTGTGCTGGGATTGCAGATGTATGAGATAAATGTCTAGCTTTTATATGGTGTCCTAGGATTGGAACTCAAGTCCTCATGCTTGTGGGGCAAGCACTTTTACCCACTGAGCCATCTCCCCATCCCCTGGTAAACTTAATGCCTGAAGCATTTACCTCCCTCCTGATACCTCTGTGGAGGCTGACAAGCAGAAAGCAGGGCCTCCATTTGTTAGTTGATGCAAAAGGAATGTTGACAAGTCCCTGTAAAATTGTGAAGATTGTAGAATGTAAAGAACTTCCTAGTCATTTCAAAACCTGATTTTCTTGAGTTTGCTGTCTGTTTGCTCCTGCTTGTAAATTTTAGATGCACTACCCTTTGTGATCCAGGCTGTTCCATGTAGTTACTGCTGTTGACAGAAGTGTCTAGCTGATGGGCAAACCAGAAACATACAAGCCTTTATGATGAGGCTGTGCTGTTGGATCCACACCTATTCCCCAGCTACACTCCACTGCTCTACACTCATCTTCACTGTACTACTCACCTTTACACTCTTCATCACTCCACTCCACTCCTTTATGTAGATCATCTACACTGTCAGAATGCCCAAAAGGCTACTTAACAGAAAAGGAGACTGGAAAGATGGCTCAGTGCTTAAGAGTGCTTGCTGTTCTTGCAGAGGACCCAAGTTCAGTTCCCAGCACCCACATTGGGCTGCTGACAACCATCCATAATCCCAGCCTTAGGGATCCAACACCCTTTTCTGGCCTCTATGAGCACTGTACTCAGTTGCATACACTCTTACACAGACACACAAGTGTGTACGTAAGTAAAAGTAAAGATGAATCTGGAAAGAAAAGGAAAAGCAAAACCTACCCATACCTAGCATTCTGGGAAGGTTTTGGATATCATTGTAAGTTAGCTTTGGTAATGATTACCCTGGTGGACTAAATCAGGCTCGCCCTCAGGAAGCTGGCTACCTCCGAAATTCATCGAAGTATAGGATGTGCTTACCACTCCCTGGCTTGGAGGCTAGAAGATTCTCAGGAAAAAACCAAAAAGCAAAAACAACAACAACAACAAAAAACCACAGATTGAACTGTAGCCTACCTGAACATCTTGAGTCTTTGTTGATGGGGATAAGAGATTGTGATTGCTTAAAATGTAAATAAGTAACATTTGAGAAGGAAGAGATCAGTTATCCACTAAAAGCATTTATTCAGCTTTCACTGGCCAATTTCCATAGAAAGTGATAGGAAAAAAGAGTCTTCAGATTCTGAAGATTTAGTCTGTAAAAGCCCCTAAATCTTTATTCATAAGTATGTATGGGAGGAAATTATTTTCCACAATGTACAGACAGTTTCTAATGCTGTATGTCCTATGAATAAAAATTCCTGTCTTCTCCTCAAAATCTGAAAACATTTTACTATACTGCACCAAAGCACCCTTTGGGTAGCCTAGCAAAGCTTTCATGTGACAGAGAAGGGGACCCACTGATGTTTTATGGCCAGTTTGCCTTAGGTCCATTTTTCTCAGTGTTTTCATATTCTATCATTGACTGTTAACTGTTAAAATGCAGAAAAATTAATTTATGTCACTCCAATATTTGCTTAAAAATACGGTGACTATCAGAGAGTGTCTAAATCAACACAAAAGGGGCCATTCATTCTCTATTTTGTTTAAATGAGAAGTTTAAATTAGAGATCATAGTTGGAAACAAGTATCCGTCAATATAGTAAAGTTTTTATCAGTTGCTAGTATTTACACATTGGGAGGTTTTATATAAAAACTCAGGTTTGCAGTGTTTGTAGATGCTGGGAAGTTCCTGCAATACTTAGTGGTAGCACTTTGAAGAACTACAGAAAAAAATGCTCTGCCAGCTACCTGACAACTCCCAGGTCCCAAGCCACCCCGTTTCCTCTGATGCTCTATGCATGACCATGAGGGTCTTAGACTTGTCACTTTAAAAATTATTATTATTGTTGTCATTATTATTATTATCATCTTCTTCATTTGGGTGTTTTATTTTCATGCATGTATGTCCATCACATTTGTGCCTAGTGCCCACAAAGGTCAGATCACCAGAAACTGAAGTTACAAAGCTACTATGCAGGTGCTGGGGTTTGAACCTGGGTCCTCTGGAAAAGCAGCCAGTGCTAACTACTAAGCCATCTCTTCAGCCCCTGGACTTGTCATTTTTAACTTAAATAAACAAACATCTACACAGAAAATTTGCTGGGAAAGCCATTAAGTTTGTTTGCAGTAATTACCTCCCTAGGTAATTACTGACTCATCTTAAGGACATTGAACTTAGGTAGAAATAAAGACAAACTCCAGCAGGCACTGTGACACATGCCATCAGAGGTCACTGTGGGGGGGTCTTCCATGGTGTATTTAGGGGAAAGGTTCAAGAGGAAGTAGTGGACTTCCCGGTCCACTTAGACATTTTTCTGTAACCAAATGGGTCTGCAGCCCAGTAGAGCCAATGGAGAGAAAGGGAGAGTCCCCCAGGGTGGATTTCAGGTCTATTTAGGAGTGATCCTGACTTATGGCATAGATGTTTGAACCTGACTTAGTTAAATAAAGACCCTGTCACATTTTTTTATTTGTGCATGCATTTGTGTCTTGCTTCTGTACATAACTCTAAAATCATTAAGTCACTTGTCCTAACTTAGCATGAGAGTGTCATGCTAGTCAATAAAGATTATTACTGAGGCACACTGTCTGCTTTGTATACAAGTGTAAGTTTGGGACAGACAGTAGTGGATCATTATGAAGTCCAAATGGTACAGAACATTCTGTCTTCATTTTCTGAGATTGCCCTAAGGAAGGACTCAAGCTTAAAATAAATAAGTCCCAGGGAATTTGTGGATGCTCCCTAGCCCCTATCCTTTGCAGCTTGAGCAAAGCTTATACAGTCTAGGCTGAATTCCAAACGGTTTATATCATCAGATCCAAACTGGCCTTTGTGATGGCTGCTGAGGCTCAGAGAGAAGGGTGTTTGCAGAGCTCGTATGTGTGTCACTGTGGGGAGGGGAGTCTAGTTGTGTGTGGGGGAATCCAGTGCCAAGTCACGTGTTCCCCCTCACCTACTCATTCTGCTGCAGCTCACTTGACAGAATAAAGTACTGCTCAGAGTCATGTGCCACATAGGTGTGTTAGGGCCACTTTGGGAGCCCTAAAGGACCTGTGCATCACTGCCACTGGAAGACATGCTTTAAGAAAGAGAAGCCATGAATGAACTAAGCATCCTCCGGAAGCAGCAGTACTTTTTACTTGCTTAAAAGAATTTTTCATTATATGCCCACGTGTGTCTATGTGCAGATGTGTGAGTGTGTGTGTGTGTGTGTGTGTGTGTGTGTGTGTGTGTGTGTGTGTGTGTGTATGCTTGTGTAGGTATGTGCATGCTAGTGTAAGTTAACTTGAAAGCCATTGGATGCCCTGGAGTTGAAATTTCAGTTTGCTGTCAGCAGCCCAATGTGGATGCTAGGAACTGAACTTGGGTTCTTTGGAAGAGCAATAAGTGTTCTTAACTGTTGAGCCATCCCTTCAGCCCCATGCAGCAGTAGTTTTGCAGGATGAATACCTGTCCTGAGTCTCGGGATTTTGGGCAACATAGGATTTTTTTCAATGTAATCTGTATGTGTGTGTGTATACTGCTTCATTTTTCCCAAGTTTTACCTCTTACTTGCAAAACTGTTCTTAAAATCTATCTCCATGTAGGCTTCATAGTTACAAAGTAACAATTTTGGTCTTTTGGATCTGTGTGGAAAATGTTTTTTGCACTATTTATTTATTTCTTGCTGCCCTCTAGTGGTCATATCTAAAAGTATTTTGGAAAGTATTTTGGGTTTTATCTCCCCTGCAGGTTGTTGGGTGGGGGTTGTTTTGTTTTAATTTTGAGAGAAGGTCCCTGTTCATACAGTTCAGGTTATCCGGAACTCTGAGGTCTCTCACCTTACTCTTTCAAGCTTCAGGATTACAGCGGTACACCATCAAGCCTGGAATTTACTCCTAAATTTTAAAATGTTAATGTTCAGAGGCTCTGCCTCAACAAATCAAGGGATAGCTGGTGGCAAAAAAAAAAAAAAAAAAAAAAAAAAAAAAAAAAAAAGAAAGAAAAAGAAAAAGAAAAAAGAAAGGAAAAAAGGAAAAAAAGAAGAAGTCTAAGAAATTTTAATATGTTTAAAGTCAGTCTTTTGTGATGAGTGGCAAAGAAGGTTTGAATTTCATACAATGCAGTCTTTCCTGCAAAATGACTTTGTTAAAGATTTTGGAGTTCATTATGATGTGTATTTTATGTAGAGGAAAGTATCCTTTTCATAAGCACATATTCAAGAATTTCCATGAAGAATACCCAGTCATTAAAGAGCCCTTGGCCTTCCCCACAATAACCATGGTGTTTTTTTTTTTTTTTAGCACCATCATTTGTTTTGGTTTTATGCTTTATATAAATGAAGTGTGTATCATGGTTTGTTTCAAGATTGGCACCTGGGCACAATCTAATATTGTGTGGGAAGGAAATCACGGTGGGCATATTTTATCACAGCAGTAGGAAATGAACCTATGCCTTCCTGTAGTGCTTTAATGTTGAAATATCTTATTTCTTTTCAATCTGGACAATATAGAAGCTAACAATCAGATGAAAAATCACCAGAATGTTCCAATCCCCCTTACCATCTCGCCAATTCCCTCTCCTCTGGGGGTAGCTCAGGTGCACTGGGGTGTTTGTGTGGGCACATGAGGGCATACACACAGAGTATATACACATGTCCCTGATACTGCCTGCCACCTTTGCAACTTTCCGTCCAGCGTTTGTTGTGGATATTGTTCATTTATGAGAGTCACAATGCAGTGCTTCATCCTAAATGGAGGTTTGTCTTCAGAGATCTTAGTCCTGTTTTGGGTCCCCATTTTGGTGGTGTGCTAATGGTGGCCTTAGTGGGTAGGCTGCAATGGGAGGGGACAGAGGTGACTGTTAAGCAGCCCCTGTGGTGCCAATGCCAGTGAATCTTGGCCAACACTTTTTATTCTTCCCTTTCCCTGCAGCCTTGGCATCATGTATAGCTTTGTGGCCAATCACCAGGTAAGGACCCAGATCAAAAGGACCCAGAAACTGGCAGAGAGCAATTTCAGAGACTTGCAAGTGTTCCTGAGCGAAACCCCAAAGGTAAAAACTTGCGACCTGCACATTCCATGGCACTTTGTGTCAGCCGCTCTGAGTCCCTGTGTGTTTGGAAGTTCAGCCAAACCATTATTATTATTATTATTATTATTATTATTATTATTATTATTAATTGGTCATGTTTTATTACTGGGTATTGAAATAGCTCTCTGTGTATCTTTTATTTAATATTTTTAAATTTTACATACTAACCTTAGTTCCTCCTCCCTCCCCCACTTCCTCCCATTCACTCCAGAGAGGGTAAGGCCTCTCTTGGGGAGTCAACAAAGTCTGACATATTAA